CGTTCTGCTTGTTGCTTTCCCTTGGGGAAAAAACAATATGTGTGTGTGTATATATATATATTTATATTTATATATGTATTTATATATATACCTCTCTCCTAAGTTTGCTGTCAGCCTCATTTCAGCCTGCTGCTTACATAAGGCATTAAAAATCGCGGAGCCCTTCCAGTGATCCCGCATGTGAGCAGCGCTTCCTCCCCATCCCTAAAGCGCTGCTGGCCGGGCTCCGCTTTTCCGGGCTTCGGGAGGGCTTTTGTCTCCCAGACGCTGATTTACGGGGTTGTTTGTGCAGCCCAGGTGCCGGCGTGGTTCCAAAATGCGTGGTTGCATGCAGGGAAATGGAGGTTAAAAAAAGAAGGAAAACAAAATGGATCTGGAGGAGTCATTCCCTCTTGAAAGCAAATAGAAGGAACAATTATAGACTGAGACATACTATTTCACTGATATGAAGGGTTGTTTGGTGTTACATAACTCGCCTCAGCAGCTTGTATAGACACCTTATGGACTATATAAACATCAACAATATTTCCCACATTGTTGTCTGTTTAACCACATTCAACAATTGATGCTCGATTGGATTAAATTGTCAGTGGCAAAACGGATGTTATCCCTGTTTCAATAACCCTTTTAAGTGTCTGTTGAAGTCTCAACGTAGTTTCTTAACCTGTTACAGTTTTAAAAACAAGCTGGAATTTATACCAGTTTAGAATAAAATGCAGTGTAATGTAGCTGAGATATTTAAACACCCTTATTCTGATAGCAAAGGAGGGATTTAAAAATCCAAATATCATCAATATTTCTTGAATGTTGATTATGTGTACTTTATGATGCATTAAGCAATACAGTGCCTTAGTTTTTGAAAATTGCTTTTAAGCATCATCAGCAAATTTGATATCTATGTTTTAATCAATATTGCTTCATTCTGTATGTGTTGTCCATCTGTATGGGCAGCTCTGAGAATGACTCTGAGTAATCAATTTTTCTTTCAGTCCTAGCCCATTGCATATGACAAACAAGTGGAAGTGATTAAACTTTCCTTAACACTAGTGCTTTTTTTCTTTTTTCAAATTTGTTTATCCCAGTCTTACTAAACCCAATATYCCGCCTGTCTATGTTCCAGGACAGCGCAAGGTTAGTGTCATTTTACACATCTTCATGCAGCAGTGGCTTGGTGGCTTTCCTATTCGATCTGTACTCTGGCAGCAATCCCAGGTGYAGTTCTGGGGGCAAAACCTGTGTTTATGGCTTTGCTTGCAGTTCCTGCTCCTGTCGCATGTGTGTGGCCACAAAACAAAGGCAAAATCTGGCAACAGCAGCTTGTTAACTTGCTCAGCTCGGAGTGAGCTGTGTTAGTTGCTCTAGGGTTTCTTTTCAAGTATGAATCTCCACTGCTGTCCATTAGTGGTCAGCTGTGTGATGTCAGCTCTTTCAGAGTTTTTGTGATTTAAGTCATTAAAGTAAAATGATATCTGGAAATTGGAAGGCAGTGTTCCTAGTTGTTAATTGAGGATTCTGGAATTTTAAGTACGTCTTCATTACTTTTAACTGCAGTTACAGAAACAAGAATTGACTTCATGGCAGATGAGCCAAAATTTCTTTTTGCTGGTGATCTTGCTAGACAAGTGTCTGAAAATGCATCAGTCAGGCATGTAGCTTTCAGAGCACTCTGACAAGTGAACAGGAGATCTCAAAGGCGGTGTTTTTTTCTTTTGCTCTTTTTCATTTTTCTCAGTTTCACTTTTTTAAACCTGTAGCCACACGCTGTCTGAAGTAAGGGGAAATGAATCCTCATCTGAGAGGAATTCAGTAGTTGAACTCAGCTGGGATTGCCAAGAAAGATACCAATTGAGAGGAGGATATTTATTCATTGRGAGCTGGATAGAGACTGCAGATTTACTGCACAGGAAAGATACCGTGCTGACATTAAAAGTAAAGGAGTTTCTTCCTTTTTTTTTTTTTTTCTCCTTCTTTATTCATGCCAGATTCCTTTGCGGTATCTGGGTGTTTTGTTTGAGCCTGAGAAGCTGCATGAGCGATATTTGGATTTTTAAATGTCAGTCAGCAGCAGTAGGGCCTGTTGTCCAGTCAAGGAGCTGAGAGCTCTCCTCAGCAGCTATTAATAGTTCACTTTCTGGAAGGCTTGTGCTCTCCCAGGTGAGCTGATGTCTGCACGTGGGCACTAGTCTATAAGGACAACAGCATCAATGCAGATACCAGCTTCAAGAACATACCCGTGAAAGCTACTTGGGTATCTGGCTTCATATATGTTTGATCACCTGATTAGGTGCCTACTGTACTCTATATATCTTATATATCCTATTTTTCCTATTTTTTTTTTTCCTGCTGGAATTAAATGTCAAAATTGGATTTTCATTTCTCAGCAAATGTTTGCYAATCTTTGAAGTTAAACAATGTATAGTTTGTTTAGGAGAAGCTACTGGGTGCAAAAAATACAATTTGCATCCTAACGCATTGATTAAATTATTAAAGGTAAGTAAATGAAATAGATCACAGTAAAATTCTGATTTAGATGTWAAATAAAATGCTGAAATTATGAAAGATAAAGATGAAGGGGAAATCATAGTGCCTTTGGTGTGTKTACAGCACCTTATGGATTTGAACTTTGGGCAGTGCTGAAATTCAGASAGAGATCATAATGAAATGTAACATTTTCATGAGAAATATAATCTAATTTTGATTTGAAGTTCCAAAGYCATAGAGATTATAATTTGCTGTCTCATTTTATGAGGGGGAAGGAAAAAATAGTGTAAACTTTTTTTCCTGCTGAATACATTTTGTTAATGCAATTTCATATTGCAGGGTTATACACTGTTAGAAATGAGCAGGAAATTGAGAATACAAAACTAAACTTTATAAGTATTGCATATCTTGCTGATATTTGTGTGTATTTTGGTTAAGGTTGTATGTCTTGCCTACCAAGACTCTCACCCCTCAAGAGAAATCACTGAGTCCCMTGCAGTGGTGCAGACGTGTTCTCGATCATCCAAGTCCTGAGATAGAGGCTGCAAAGCGTTCTCTATGCTTTAGACTGGAACAAGGTAATCTTATTGTTTGAATTTCTCTACTATGAAGCTGACATTTTTGTCTAGTGTATCACTAGTACTCAGCAAATTTGACAACATAGTGAATTTCATGAGTGSTGGTCATGAAGTTCTCTCACATATACACGTCTTCCTTCTGCTCTGTGAAAACAACAAGTAGTTGTTTGAGATGCTTTAAAGGTGTATGATCAGAAAAAATATCCTCTTTCATCATCATTCCTCCCCTGCCCCAAGTAACTCCTTAATTTTAAACTCCTTATCAGTATTAAAAATAGGTTAAAAAAGAAACTGGGGACTTCTGGGRGAAGAGCACTTTGATGCTAGCTTTAGAATAGGTCTAGCACCAAAATTTGAAAAACAGTACTTTTGTTTTTGTGTAAATATCACAGTAAATTTCACCACAGTTTATATCATCACCACTGCAAATATATAAGATATATTTGACCATATTTCACTGTAGTATCAAGACTTAGCACTATGTATAGTCCAGACAAAGAGGAGTTGTAACTTGATTGCTAGTGCTGCCGTTTGGGGGTCTTGGAAGCCTGTAGTGTTGGGATCAACTTGATGTCTGCTCAGTGTCAGTGTAGGTGCTGGTATGTCTGGACATGCTGAATTTAGTTCTGAATTATATTTGGGATTTTTTGACCACCTGTGGGCCTATTAACATTGTAGTAAGTGGTATTGACTGGTGTGATCCATGAGTCAGCAAGGTGCACTTGTAGCCAAGAAGGCCCATGGGMTCCTGGCTGCATCAGGAGGATGTTGCCAGCAGGTGGAGGGAGAGGATCCTGCCCCTCTCYTCAGCTCTGGTGAGACCGCAACCGGAGTATTGTGTGGCAGAGAGCAACAAAGATGATTAAGGGAGTGGAGCAAGGTTTATAAGTGGCAACGAAAAAAAAAGTGCAAATGAATAATACACGAGAGGGGTAGGAGAAAGAAGTAAAACTAATGGCAATGTGGGTATGTGGTTTTCGGTTTCCACAGCTGAAAACAGACTTGAAAGATTTAAATTGATGCAAAATCAAGACATGAGAAAGACAAATTTATWATTTAATTTGATGGTTATTTGTTCAATCTGTGTCTATATGAAGTAACAAGTTATCTGGACAATGAGTCATTTCAATATATTTAAGTTACAGTGATGGCCTAACGAATTTCTTGGGCTTTGTAGAAAGTTTCTGCACAACTACACCGTATGTAAACCCCATTATGGAACTGTATGGTTAGATAGAGAATGGTCTTCTGTTTCTACCAAAGCAATTCTATGCTAAAGTTGTTTTCAATAATGATTAAATTAATGAAATCTAGTATTGCAAAATAATTTATTTTTGTCAGCTTTACCTTTGCAAATAATAGGCAAACGTCCAATAAGTTTTCATACTCAAACACCGTGGAAGCAGATTTCAAAATATTTATTTCTTTTACAGTTTTGAAATAAGATGAAGCATCTGGAAGAATTTTTAAACAAAAACAAACTCTCCGTATTCTAACCTTCCTGTTTTTATTTTGCCATATATTCTATCAGTAAGCATATGTATTTTCATTGTGATTTCAGAAATGACTAAGAATGGTCTTCTCTTCTGGAGCAAAAGACTGAAATGAAACTTTTTACTTTCAAKCTGAAGAGTGTCTTTCCCCTTTCTGCCATATACGTTGAAAAGGCATGTTAAAATCTAGCTGTACTTCTTCGGTTTGGCAAAAAGTCAGTTGTAATGTTGCTGTACTTGAGAAATAAGAAATGTGTAGTCAAAGGGCACTAACAGTGCATCAACTTGTGCTTCCTGAAATAGCTTGTAGGCAGAATTTGCTTAATAACTTGGTCTATGATGTGTGAGCCAAAAATTAATGCATTTCAGAATTTCATGACTTTTTAAGTGTATAGTGCACTTAGAAATAAAAAGGAGTTAAAACTGATTATTTTTTTTGTCAGCAAAATTAGTGTATCTGAATGAGGACACACGGAGAGAAGTGAACTATGAACGAGAATGCATAATCTTAACCTGGTTATGTTTTGTTTGGTTTTGTTTCCAATTTTTTGGTTCTTTTTATTTTTTACTTATTTTGATCATTGAAGTTTTAACTCATTCCTGTTCTATTTGGATAGCTTTTAAATCTGTTTTCATTTATTCCAGACTCTTGTAAGTTTTCCTTTTTATATCTATCAT